TGAGGTAAGAGAATCATTTAAGCCCAAGAGTTTGAGGTTGCTATGAGCTGTGACACAATGGCACTCTACCGAGGGTGACATAGTGAAACTCTATCTTAAAAAAAAAGAAATGGGAATCACAGAGAGCTCTGCAGAGCCCAGAGCAGGGGCTGCTCCCCAGGGCTTACTATCCCCACCTTGTGACCCATAACTTTCCACATGTGTCTTATAAGCAGAGTGCCCTGTGCAGAGGCAGATGGGGGCAGGAGGAGGGATCACCAGCAGGAGCTTTCCAAAGCCAGCCTCCTTCCCCAGAGGGCAATGAGGGGCCTGAAGGAAGGGGAGACTTGGTGTGCTTGTGCAAAGCAGGCGTGAACATCCTGCCTGTAGGGTCCCCCTCTGCCAGTATGACCCTTGCGTAAACTTTGGGTGATTGTTTTGTGATTCTCCCCAGTTCTTTTTGCACAGGTTGCTGAGACAGGCATAGCAGCAAGTGAGCCTGGGGGATGCTAAAGGTGATAAGGCCTCTGCAGTCCCAGGCTGGGTTAGGGAGCACTGAGATCAGGTTGAGGATGATGACAGGCCCCAGCAGTGCCTGAGAATCCTTCGCATGCAAACTGCCATGCCCTAGATGAGAAAAAAAGCACTCTCTGATTCTCTGCTTTTATATTCATCTCCAAAGCCATTTGCTCATCTGTCCAAATTTGGAATATCAGAGTGTAAGCATTGCTTACAAAACCATGTCCCAACTCTGTGGTCCTCCCAGAGCTACAGATTCAGGTGGGCCTGCTGTCACAGGCAGCCTGAGCAAGGCTGGGACACCCAGGCCTCACCTGCCATCCCCACCTCTGCCCAGGGCCCAGCAGTGGGCTCATAAGGGGCCCTGGGAAGGATAGTGAGCCGTGGGAAATGGAAGTGTACAGGGCATCAGGTATCTAACTCCTTCATCTCGTCCTGTTTCTCAACTCCACATGAAGTTTTCGGCGCAGTTCAGCATGTTCCAGACCATCAAAGATCAGCTGGAGCAGCGGACACGGATCCTGCAGGCCAGCATCCGGTGGCAGCAGGAGGAGCTGCACAAGATCCAGGAGCAGCTCTGCCTGGTCCAGGACTCCAATGTCCAGGTGACGCCCCTCCCCAGGCCCAGCGTGTCTTCCCTGCCACTCTGGGAGGAGTCCCCAGCTATCATGTGGGGGCAGGCAGGGCTTCCTGCAGAGACCCCCCCGCACAGCCCTCCAGAGCTCTCCATGCTGATGGAGCATGATGCAGCCCCCACAGGCAAAGTCCAGGGAGTGACTCCACTACTCGTGCGTAAGCCCCACAGCATCCTCTCCCTCAGCCCACACCTGCTGGGCTCGTGCCCTTGCTGCCTCACCTGCTTTTTCACTCGTGCCTGCAGCGTTGGCTGACACAGCCCAGACCCCGGGCTCAGTCCGAGGCTGTGGTTCCCAGCACCTGTATAACTTTCTTTCACAGCGCGCTGCCCAAGCTGTCAGCCGAAGGAGTGGGAGTGGGGGCTGATGGTATCTGTGCTGCCATCTGTGGGGGACTGCAGAGGGAGCTGGGACTGGCACCTCCATGACACCCATTTGTGGCACACTCTGCTTGTTCTGACAGTTCACTGTAACCTGCAAATAATCCAAGTTCCTTTGAAATTGTTGAGAGATACTTTTTGGTTTTCGGCAGTAAAGCTTTGTGTATTGGATCTCTTTTAAGGATAGATTATTTTTACCAGGCTTTACTTCTGTCAGTCCAGGACTGCTCCTCTTCAGAAGTGCATTATTTTGACCCAGCCTTTAATTGTAAATGTAAATCTAGCTAACTCTGGAGTTGGCCCCGCGAGCCCTAAGCAATTGCAACCCTCTTAGGAGAGCCGAAATAACACCTGGGGAAATGACCAGTGCATCGTCCCTGCTGCTCCGTCTCCCCTTCACTGTCCACACAGACCCTCCTCTGGGGACAGACGGCTCTGTCAGGGAGCAGTGCTTGTGAGCCCTGCCTGATGTGAGTGACACATGACAGTACGGGTTCCGTTGAACATAGGGAGATGTTGCCCCTGGGCATCTGGCCTCCCTGAGTTCCCAGCAACTCTGCCCAGCCCCTCAGGGGTGCTCCTTTGGCTCTCCAGACACTTGGCCACCTGCAGACACTTTTCTGCCCCTGCACAACCCTCTCAGCCAGAGTTCGCTCCTTGCTGTGGAGAGATGCAATGGCTGAGATAGGCCATCCCCTGCCCACTGCCACCAGGAACGCCGTGACCTGGTGCCATGACCACCTGCCATGCCCAGAGCCCTGCTGCTCCCTCCCCACCTCTTCAGGGACACCCAAAAGGTCATAAGGGAGAAGACTCAGGATTAGCGTGATTTGCATGAAAAGAAATGGAGTCCCCAAGGCATGATTCCACCATTTATCAGAATAAGTAAAAAGTGACTTTTTACTGATTTGTTCCCAGCTGTGATATTTTTCTCACAGATCCAGGCCCTGATTGGGAGCTGAGAACTTGCCTGACTCCATTTACTTTAATGGAATTTTTACACTGACAGGAAGGGGGAAATTGAGCCAGAAACTGCTAAGAGCAAGGTAGGCGTGTGAACATCCGCCTCAGTGCCTGGGCTTTTCTACTTCCTGCCTTTGCAACATTAAAGCTGAGTTCTAAAATAACAGGTTATGGCGTTCACTCCCTGTCATGAAGAATTATTCCTTCTCCTCCTCGTGACCCCCAAAGTACCTGTGCCCGAGGGCACCCGAGACTGAGGGATGACAGTGGGAACCCAGCCTGCAGCGTGTTCCTTCCCACTTTCATCCCTGTGACCTTTCCCTTAGAGTGGAATTTTCCAAAGAACATGGAAATCCACAGATATCAAACCAGAGGACATTTCCTCAAGGAGTCTGCTTCTTGGTTTTTTGCAAGACTAAATATGTTCCCGAGTGCTTGACCAAAACGTGATATTTGTTTTTTCATATAATAAAAACCAAACTGTGTGATTCAAGTGCGGAGAATAAAAAAGTAAGGACTGTGGCCAGCCCCCAGCAGCGGGAGGCTAGATGAAGCAAGGATGGCAGAGCGGGGATGACGACATGCAGAGTCATCTTACTGTCTTTCCACTGTGTGTGCTTCTGAAATGTCCCGTGATGACGAGTGTTTGTACAACTGAGCAGATAAGAATGATGAAAAATCACATAGGCGAGTGGAGTGGGTTTGTTCTTAAGTATTAGAAATTTTTTTTCTCTGATAAGTTTTTCTACTTCAGTTGAGGAACTGTTTTTTTTT